GCTTCAGATTGGTTTCACAGGTCGGCGCAACATCGAGGGCCGAAGGGCCTGTACTGCGCTGTAATGTTCTATGTTCTATGTTCTATGTTCTATATCTGGCTTAGGTCTCAGCAAAACTATGGAGCTCCAGCTGCTGGCACGAGGCTCCATCAGTTGGTGCTCCAGCACACTACTAATCAACTCCTGGGCCTGGGCCAGCTTTTCTGGCCCTAGTCCATAGGAATATTTTCTTTTGAGATAGGCATCTCCCATATCCACTTTAGGTAGAACTAGAATGGTGCAGCTGCGCTTGTCTCTGCTTAAGTCCTTAAATGTGATTAGACTCATTAAATCTCCTCACCATCTGTACCTGGGTCAGTAAATAAGGAGTCTCAGTTTGCTAGTGTCTCTATTCCTTATCTGCATTTAAAAGGGTTCAGTGTGGACCTTACTCACCTCTCCTTCCATTTCATGTCAGTTGCTACCCTTGTCCCCAAGGACACTAGGAATGGGTGACACATTACTTCCTGGTCGCCTTCTCAGCAGTATACTGCTATATCACGTTGACATGACACAGGCTTTGCCATTGATCTTGACTGTAACTGGATAGATCACTTGCGCCAAGCTCTTGGGCTACTTTATACGGGCCATTGAGCTGAATTGGACTTTTAAGGGTTCCTTGTCAAATTTAAATACCGACAAACTATCCAATCTATTATACCATCAGGATTACCAAACAACTAACACAATCCAAGGACCAATCTAGAGTTGGTACAAGGATGTAATTTCTCTGGACTTATTGGCTGTGAGGGGTGATATTGGGAAACAGGTTGATACCTTGGTTTGATGTTTGCATAAAGATCTTTTCAACTGTAGTACCTTTGTTTTCTTTTTGATATTATTAATTGTCTTCTGTTGTAAAGAACACCTGCAGTGTTATATGAAAATGCTTTAGTAACTAACCACCATGTTACTTAACTATAACTTAAAAATACGATTACTCAAACCAGGTTTCATGTTGGGATTGGTCTTGTCCAGTTGTACACCAGCTGGGATCGTAACACACAAGTTCTCAACCTATAATCTTTGTCATATGATCATTCTTTCTGGACAGTATCTTGAAAGGAGCCTGAAATTTAAATCTTCACTAGTTTGAGCCTATATTCCTTGTTCTACAATTAGGCTTTCGTTTGCCATTATATTTTCAACACAGTTATCTCAGAACCCATAATTTTCCAGTTTGTCCTAAAACTGCAATTCTCAAATATTAAAGATCAGTCCAAGGTCTGCTTTCTGCAAGGTCTTCAGAGTTGGACTGTTTCATTTGTATCATGGTTTGTGAGACTGTATTCATTAGTGTGATCTGTTCAGATCACAGGATCATTCCCCAACTTGAACTCATTGTTTTGGTAATGTGGTTGAGCATTCAGTTCATACAATACTGAAAAAGAATGTTAAATTCACTATTCATTAATGTGTATGAGTATATACTTTGGCTTCCACATTTTGTAATTTCTCAGGTACTGCCCACACTGAACCACTTTTCATAGATTAGCACAATCTGTGACCATTTTACATTGACACTTAACAAAAAAACTAAGAACTACGGACGCTGGAAATCTGAAAAAAATAAGCAAATGGCTGGAAAAACTCAGCAGGTTTGGCAGCATCTGTGCCATGGCCAGAATTGAAGATGGGGGAGGTGTCACTAACCTGAAACTTTGACTCTGCTTTCTCCCCACAGATGCTGTTAGTCCTGCTAAATTTCTCCAGTAATTTCTGTTTTTGTTTTACATTGACATTTCCAGAGTAAGAAAAGTAAAAAAAAAATCTGCCTGAACTGCTTTTGATGCACTCCAGTTAGACCTTCCTCTCTAAATCCAACAATAACGCCTCTAACAAATGCTTGCTGCTTCCCACTATCTTTTTACCATTTTCTCAGTTTCGTCCTAAAATTCTTATATTTTAATGTTACTTACTAGCAGCTTTTTCCAGGAATATTTAAGCCACTTTCTCAAGGTCAAACACAATCATTTCCTTCTGAATCCATCATGTGCTTTTCAACCCACTTGGAAATCAAAACATTTTCCATTCACATTCACCACCTTTATTCCTTTTGATATTTCTTAGCTATACTAAGTGACCTGCTCAACGTTTATTCCCTTCTCTTTCCAAAAACATACCAGTTTATTCTGTAATCCAGTTACAGTGTCCACTTTGATGGCCTTCCTTGGTGATTTATTCCACAGGTCTACTAATGTGAAACCTCACTAAGAAAGGAAAAAGGTTTTGGATATGTTTGTTCAAATAAGATGTAAATACCACATTAAATACTAAGAGTTTGAGAGATCTGAAAATTCATCTTCTGAAAGTGAGTTGAGACAATCTAAATGATACCCATCTAAACATTTAATCTGGTTGAAAGCAACTTACTTAAATATGAAATTGAGAAACAAGAATTAACATTTAAAATTTCAGAAGAATATCCCCATAGACTGTCCTCAAACCAAAAAATCCTTTCAAGGAATCTTCCCTCTAAGTTAAATTTAGAGGTAGAGATTAAAAAAAAAGTAATATGTTGAGCCGTAAAAAAATTGGCATAACATGAAAATAGGGATCTTGGAACAAAGAATAGTATCGTAAGTACAATCCGCTTGTCAAATTATTGGAAGTGAATATATTAATACCTAGATTTTAATACTGCAGAATTAACTTACACTGCAATTTTCAGGTGGTACCACCAGTTGGGTGATCTCTCCACCATGAACACAGAAGATATGTTTCATTTCACCCGAATTGATATCCCAGATGATTACAGAGAAATCTACTCCGCCTGATACCAAGTAGCGCTGATCATATCGAGTTGAGACTTGATGTGGATACAACAGGCACGTCACTTTGCTTCGGTGTCCACGAAGAGTTCGATGAGGAGGCCAGCCTGATGAAAGACAAAGAGCAGAAATGTTCAGAATCATTTACTACACAAATTTATGCAGGGCCAGAAGTGATACTTACAATCTTGTAATGAATGATACTGTGTTTATGTCTGGGATTGGGAAGGACCAGGATGGAACAACTTTGGGCAGATCGATATAAAAAAATGGTGTTGGGTGTTTTGAAAAGCATTAAGGTAGGCAAGTCTCCAGAACCTGATGAGATCTATCCCAGGCTACTGAGGAAGGCAAGGGAGAAATTGCTGGGGTTTTGTATGAAATCTTTGTACCCCCTTTAGTCATAGGGGAAGCGACAAAGGACTAGAAAATGGCCAATATTGTTCCTTTACTTAAGAAGGGCAACAGGGATAATCCAGGAAATTACAGACCAGTGAGTCTTCCGTCAATTATTGGAGAAGATTCTTAGAGATAGGAATTACTCATATTTTGAAAAACATGGATTTATCAGTAATAGGCAGCATGGCTTTGTGCAAGGGAGGTCACATCTCACAAGCTTGATTGCGTTTTCTGAGAAAGTGACAAAGATGATTAATGAGGCACAGCGGTGGATATGGTCTGTATGGACTCTAGCAAGGCCTTTGGCAAAGTTCCTCATGGTTGGCTGACAGAGAAGATAAAGTCACATGGGATTTGCAATGAGCTGGTAAAAGATGGATACAGAACTGGCTTGGTCATAGAAGACAAGAGAGTGGTGGAAGGATGTTTTTCTGACTGGAGATCTGTGACCAATGGTGTTCTGCAAGGATCAGTGCTGGGACCACCGAGTGTGTAAAATGATTTAGCGGATTATGTAGTAGTCTGACTAGTAAGTTTGCAGATGACACAAAGATTGAGGGAACTGCGGATAGTGATTGCCAAAGGATATAGCAACGTAGATAGGCTGGACACTTAGGTGAAAAAATGGCAGATGGAGGTTTAACCTGGAAAAATATGAGGTGATGCATTTTGGAAGGTCTAATGCAGGAAGGAAGTGTACAGTGAATGGCAGAACCCTTAGGAGCATTAACATACAGAGTGATCCAGATGTACAAGCCCACCGTTCCCTGAAAGTGGCAACACAGGTGGATAAGGTGGTCAAGAAGGTACATGGCATGTTTACCTTCATCAGTTGGAGCAGAAAGTATAAAATTTGGCAAAGTCATGTTGCATCTGTATAGAACTTTAGTTACGCCACATTTGGAATATTGTGTACAGTTCTAGTTTGCACACCACCAGAAAAATGTGGAGATTTTGGACAGGGTACAGCAAAGGTTTGCCAGGACGTGCCTGGTTTGCAGTGTGTTAGCTGTGAGGACATGTTACCTATTGTACAAACTTGGTTTATTTTCACTTGAACATCAGAGGCTGAGAGAGTGACCTCATTGAAGTTTCTTTTAATTCATTAACGGGATGAGGGTTGTCACTGGCTAGGCAGCATTTATTGCCCATCCCTAATTGCCCAGAGGGCAGTTCAGAGTCAACCACATTGCTGTGGGTCTGGATTCACTTGTAGGCCAGACCATGTAAGGACGACAGTTTTCTTCCCTAAAGAACATTACTGAACCAGATGGGTTTTTCTGACAATCGACAATGGTCATTATGAAATTCTTAATTCCAGACATTTATTGAATTCAAATTCCACCATCTGCCGTGGCAGGATTCGAATCCAGGTCCCCAGAACATAATCTGTGTCTCTGGCTTAACAGTCCAGCAATAATACCACTAGGCCATCACCTCCCTTGGAGGATGACAAAATTATGAGACACATGGACTGAATGAATAGAGAGTGTCTTTTTCCTAGGGTAGAAATGTCAATTACGAGGGGACACAGGACTAAGACAAGGAAAGTCCAGAGGAGACGTGAGAGGGAAATTTTATTTTACACAGAAGGTGATCAGTGCCTGGAATGCACTGCCAGAGCAGATGGTAGAAGCAGATACAATAGTAATGTTTAAGAGGCATCTTGACAGAGACATGAATAGGCAGGGAGCAGAAGAATACAGACTGTATAGAAGCAAAAATTTTTAGTGTAGAAAGGTGTCATGTGTTGGTGCAGATTTGGTGGGCCGAAGGTTCTGTTCGTGTGTTGTACTGTTCTTTGTTCAATGCCTTTGGCATTGAAAGTGTAGTTGAGGTGGTGATTGAATAGATCAACAGCTAAAAAATAACTACGGCTAATAGAAGATCAAAGTTAGGGAACTGTTAAGATTGTAAGCGAATAAAAGGGTTTTTCTATGACTAAATACAACAAAAAGGTGAAAATGGAAAGGAGTGAGTTGGTGGCAAGTGTTAGAATGAAACTGTCAGAGACAGCATTCTTTGTGACACAAGACAAAGTGGGTCAAGGTAATGGGAGATGGGCCGATCAAGACATAATTATGGGTAATTTAAATCATATGGAGGAAGAGACTGAGAGGTTGAGCATAGGCCAGAAGGAAGTGAATTCAGAGAGGTGACAGCAAGGATAGCTAAGGTGAAGATTGAAATTGCTAAGAGTAACAGGCTACTGTTTATAAAGGCTGCGGGACAACATCTCAGGGAGAAATTCAGTTTGAGTCTTGAACTGGGCAGCAGACAACTTTAAGGGAGACTAGCAAAAGAAGACCGTGGCGCAGAGGAAATGGGGTTAAATGATACTGTGATTTGATGACATGGGCCACACAATGACTTAAGCAGAGCTGTGTAAAACAAAATAGTCAGGTGTGGAGTTTTAGTTAGGGGCAAAGCACTGCCACAGATTAGCCAAGACTCAGTTAATACAATTATCCAATTTAAAATTAATGGGATAGCTATAGCTGTACTTGGTAACGAATAGGCATTCTGGGCAGAAACACCAAAGGGAAATGCAAGACAGTTGACCTGCAAAAATTGATAAGACCTGAGCCAACACACTTGATCAAAATTGATTATAGAAAAACATGGGGACACAGCAGTTACACATGGTTCAACAGGCCTATCAGAGAATGCCAAGAGAGGAAAGTCAAAATTAAGGAGAATTTAAACTTGCCATGACTGCAGAAGAAAGGAATGGCAGAACAGTAACAGCTTTGAGAAGGATTTCAGACCAAGTACGTAAAAGCAAATTGTAAAAATGCTCTCTTTCAACTGAATTAATACATAGAACAGTAGTCATAGCAGATGCACATTCCAAACAGCACTACTATAATCACTGTATGATATGCAATAATCACATCATGCTTCTCAAATAAATGGATTATCTGCTTTGACTTCAGCAAGGTGCTTTCTAAATGCAATTCCAGAACTGCTGAGCATTTAGCCTAGGCTGTCTTATAAAAAGCCTGTTCATGAACAACATACTCCCCCACCCATCAGCAGCCTGAACATATCCTTTCCCCTCCTATTTGTACCATACTAACTGTTTTTCCAAGTGCAAAATTTTATTTCGATTTCCTTCAGTGAACAATTTTCAACATATTATCAGGAGAACTGCAGCTCTTTTGAGTAAATGAACCATCTTTCATCTAGCTGTTTTGTTTGAATTTGCAATAATGCATTCAGCTTAACAAATATGGAGATTATTCCTATTGTGATTTCTGTGAATAAATGGTCAAAAAAAATCAATCATTCTAATGTGACAGACATCTCAGCAAAGGGTTGTATAGGTTCTATCCACTGATCAATACAGTACAAATTGAGAGAGATTATGGCTCCCTCATATTGACTATGCCAACACCCACTCAAAAATAGCTTAAGTCGATTACCAAAGGATAACCCAGCTCTCAAATTTAAATATTTATTTAAATGCACACTATCAGTCTAACTTGCATTTAAATTTTTGAAGAGTGTTTATTTCAGAAGTGCAGAAAGGCAATCAGATTCAACAAGTCAATCCACAATTTGGCAGATATAATACTTTTTCCAAAATAATTTTTCTGAATTTATTGTTGTTGACATTAAACACAACTTTTAAATGTTTAGTACTAAATAGGAACTCAGACACGTCTGAAAAAATATACGTTAAAAGCAAATCTAATCATATCTGTTTAAACCAAATGATATGAGATGGCATTTTAGCATGAAATTCAAGCTACAGTACAGAGGATACGTTACCTCGTCTCAGCATGTGTTCTCCTTGCAGTAGCTGGACAATAGCAGTCTGAGTGGCTGGCACAATAACAATACTGCCATCTTCGCGTCCACATACCAGACGCCCATGAGAGGGAATATACACACTAGCTGTCACCTTCAAAGGCTCTTCACTGCCAGGAAGTGTGCTCAGCTGATCTATAATTCCAGCAGGCCTTGGAACGAGATGATCAAATGTATCTTGTAAGCATGCCGAAGTGGTGACTTTCAACTCTGTGAAGGCAATTTGAAACTCAATACATAATACATCAGGCACAGTAAATTTGGTTTCCAGATGGAAGGAGATACTTGTTTTAAATAGCCACATTTTAAGTACAATATATTCATATAAAATATTCTACATGCCCTGAGGAGACAAAAACAATGTAATTACGAAAATCTATCTGTGAAAATCTGTTTTTCTCTCCACAGATGTTGCCAGATTTTGATTATTTCTAGAATTTTCTGTCTTTATTACAGATTTCCATTATCTGCAGTATTTTTCTTTTTATCATGTTGGAAGCACTTGGCAGGTCAGGCATAATATACCATGGATACTTGTGACTTTTTTGCTCTAACAGGGTGTTTAAAACTATATATGGCAGTCTGTATCTTAAATCAGCGTTTCAGTTTAGCTCACCATGAGTAACTTGGGACATTTCCATGACTCCTTATTTGTAAAATCTTACTAACCGTTTGGTTTACAGTATCTCAAGCTGACAGCAACTCAGGTTTTTGAGATACAACAGGTCCAGACTTTTGCTTTTTGTAATACCCTACTCCTGAATAGAGGTACTCATTTTGGTCAACACAAAGATGCAATACATGGCCATAGTGCTGGGCAAGTGTAGAAAATAAAATTACGTAGCCACAGGTCAGATTTACCCACATAAGCACAGTACTTACCAACACTTGATTAGGAACAAAAGCGTAAATATATACCAGTGAACCACACTGTTACCTAAAAGCCAAACTATTAGATTCAAGTAAAATTACTTTTCTGGTGACTACAACGATGAAAAATCCCACAATTCAGCAGAATACATTAAACGATTCACTAATTTCTACAACACATAAAATTTGGGATATTTTATAGAACTAAATCGTTGTCCTGATTTGGTAGCATTGAATAATTAAACCTGATTTTTGCATTTCCTTAAATAAAATCATTTTTAGTACAGCCACATAAGTAACAAGAAAACAGTAAGCCTGTAGAACTAAGTCACAAGTATATGAATTAAAATCAGTACAAGCATCTTACCTTGAATGCTACCTCTCTGATTTAAGTCTACTGCTTCAGGAATACACCATATTAAGAGTCTCCCTGATGAATCTCCCTGAATCAGTAACTTAAGGAAGGGTTCTCTACGACCATAAAAGAACCGTGTGACAGGTGGACAGATGAGAAGCTGCAATATCACAAAATAAAAAAGCCAGTTCTAATTAATACAATGGAAATGTGAACAGTCTGCACTACCCATACATTTTGCCTATAAAGCTTAAACACCAGATATAACTAAATTAAATATATGCAGAGCTAGAAGCTGACAAAACAACACTGCCTGAAGTACACGTGAAAAGACCTAAAAATTGAGTCAATGAGCTAGTTTTAACTCTGTGTGGGGTGTTTTGGTTAAAATTAAATGTTGGCCATTATCATTTAAACTGATAATTTTATTTTAAGCAAGTGCACACTTCAGCAGCTGGAGAACCTGTGCAGGAGCCAATTCTAATTCTTAATCTCAAATTTCTACGGCAAAAAGTAAACGTTTAGAAGTAGCATTTATTTTTCTAAATCTTTATTTGGGAATAATAACTTCATTTAATTCGCTTCCAAAAAACTCCTGAAATACAGACTTTTGCTAGATGTTAAAGCATACAGATATTAACAAAGCTTTGAAAACACATCACATCAAAGCTGTGCAGTGATACAATACACATACTAAATACTACGAAAGGATGAACAAGACAAGAGATTATTTGCAATTTCGAGAGTAGCAGGACAGGTGGTCTCAAATATTAAATTAAAAATAAATGATTTACAACTAAGACAAAAAAACTTATGCAAAGTGATAAAACTTTGCAACTGGCCTCTGTGCTTCATGCTTAAGACTGAAAAATTAATTTTAGGTAGGTGGATGATTGAAAGTAAGTTGAAGCATTTTGAAAACACGTTGAGTATATAACGTTTAGGCTTTTGTTTCACATAGAGAATAAACACTAACATGGACAGGTTGGGTGAAAAGAGCTGTCCCTGCACTGAAAATCTATGTAGTTTCAGAATAAGACTTTTTGCTTACTTGGAATATTTCAAATGGGGCTTTCACCAGAGGCAGATTTTCCTTTTCAAATTGATTCTTAGTATAAAATAACATCATTGGAATTTGCTTTTTACTTAAATAAACCTTAAAAGATGCAACTTGCACTCTTCATGGTACAACTTCTATCTATTAAAATTTAACAGTAAAATAACCATGCCTAGAAATATGGTGCACATTGAGACTTTTCCAAAAGAAAATGGTAAGGCCCTTGGGCTACAGGAGATAAGTTAGCATTTTCAGACCAATGTCCAAATACTGCATGGTATATGCCTAACTTGACATAGTTAAATTCAAAATGAACAATGCATTTTTGGGGGAAGGACATAATGTATAACATAAAAGGGCAAGCCATTATTTCTGACTCTGGGCCGTCAAGTCCAATCAACACAAAGATGCTTTGAACAGAAAACCAGTGAGCTACTATGAATGTTTATATGAATATATGAAAATAAGGAGAAGACAACCATTTGGCCATTCAAGCCTGCTCTGCCATTTAACAAGTTTATGGCTGATGTCTTTGCATTTTGAATTTCACATTTCCTGCTAATGTGATACCTTTGACTCGCTTGCCTAATAAGAACCAGCATGCTCTACCTTCAAGGCAATACCCACCAACACATTTCAGGCACTCTATCCATCTGGCACTTTACCTGCCTCACTCATCTGGCTGCCCACATTTTACCCCATGTTATGGGCCAGACCAAACCCCCTCAAAATATATTAAGATAGCTTAGACTATAACTTCCACTGATTTTAAAGGCATTGCAGTCCAGATGCAGAGTAGGGGAGAGCACAAAGAGCAGCACAAAGTGAGAAAAAGTAAGGAGAAATGGACAGCAGCCTCCAAACACCTAGCTCCAAGACCCCAACAACTGTAACTGAAAAACTAAAACTAAAAGTTCTGGTTCTGTTGAAGCTTGACCAGGCTGCTTCTATTGTTCCACATTTAGGAAAATAAAAACTCAAGGCCTCGCAAACTGTTTACTTTACAACTTCTGAAGCAGACTGCTCAGCACTTCTGTCTTAACATTTCTTCACTAAAGCAAAGGACCAAATACACCTCTTACATCCATAGGATCATCACACCCGCCAATTAAACTTTCATAGCATCTGCCAAAGTGGCTAGTTGTAGTGCTGAACATTTAAAAGCACATAATACGGCATACCTACACCAACAATATCCAGGCTTGGGCTGATTAGTAGCAAATAATATTTGCACCACACAAATGCCAGGCTATGACCATCAACAATAAGAGACAATCTAACCACCACTCCTTTGACATTCAACTGTGTTACCATGACTGAATCCTCCATTATCAATATCCTGGGGGTTATCGTGGACCAGAAACTCAACTGGACTCACCACATAAGCACAGTGTCAACAAGAACAGGTCAGAGGCTGGGAATACTGAAGCAGTAACACGCCTCCTGACTCCTCACAGCCTGGCCATCATCTACAAGGCACAAGTCAGGAGGGTGATCCACTTGCCTGGATGAGCGCAGCCCCAACACAAGAAGCTTGACACCATTCAGGGCAAAGCAGCCTGCTTGACTGGCACTACATCTACAAGCATCTATTCCCTCCACCACTGATGCTCAGTATTAGACACTGCTGTTATCTACAAGATGCACTGCAGATGTTCACCAAAGATCCTCAGACAGCACCTCGCAAACCCATGACCACTTCCATCCACAAGGACAAGGAAAGCAGATATATGGGAACATCACTACCTTCAAGTTCCCCTCCAAGCCACTCACCATCCTGACTGGGAAATATATTGTCACTCCTCCACTGTCACTGGGTCAAAATCCTGGAATGCCCTCCCTAATGGAAATGTGGGTCAACCCACAACAAGTGGACCACAGCAGTTCAAGGCAGCAGCTCACCACCATCTTCTCAAGAGCAACTAGGAATGGGCAATAAATGCTGGTCAGCCAGTGATGCTCACATTCCACAACTGAATTTTAAAAATATATACTGCTGCAAAAAAGGTGTAGTTTCCATAAAAGTGTTCTTCATGACAACACATCGTTTTCTCAGACAGGTTCATAACAGGACACCATTCCCAGCAATCTCCAACAAAGAAAACATCTAAAGCTAAATAGGTAAATTTTAAAACTAATTGGAATATCTGGAACATTATCTTTAACTGTGGATCATCACAAACTAGATAAAATGAACAAGTGACATGAAGCAAAATGCTTAGAATAGAAGACAGCAACAAATTATTAAAGCCATTAACTACAAATCGGAAATAGACTTCATTTGCGATTTAACAATTATAGCTTAAACAGGAAATAAGCAAAATGTTATCCTGTATTGTCCTCTTTGAAATACTAGAAAATGAAACAAATTTTACTTTGCATCACTATTGCACAGAATGTAGGTGAAAAATTAATCAGCACTACAATGGTGGCCAACAAACAGCTAAATTCACCAGAAAAGGCACAAATTCAAGCAGTAAATGAAGTGAACTGTACAATAAAGCTGTTAGCTTCATAACCTATAAAGACATCTTTACACAAATCTTGCTAACATACAAAGATATATGCATCACTAAGTTAGTTGCAGGAAGACTTTACATAAGCAGCTATGTTTATTGACTGAAATGTTTTCTAAACTGAGAAGAGGAGAAATTTCTTCAATCAAGATATCAGTGAACCAGTGAAAGTGTCTGGCACAGAAAGCAATTGAGGTCAAAACATTAAATGGTTTGAAAAAAAAGTTAGATAAATCTTAGGGCCAATGGGATCAGATAGTATAGGGAGAAACCGGGAGTCATCCCCGACTTGAAGATTCGTCCCCTTACAAGTTATCGTCAGACAGCATGGAAACAGACCCTTCGGTCCTACCAGTCCATGCTGACCATATTTCCAAATTAAACTAGTCCCATTTGCCTGCGCTTGGCAGATATTCCCCCAAACATTTATGTACATATCCAAATATCATTTAAACGTTCTAACTGTACCTGAATCCTCCACTTCCTCTGGAAGATCAATCCACACACACACACACACACACACACACCACTCTGTGTAAAAAAGTTGCCGCTCAGGTCTTTTTTAAAATCTTTCTCCTCTCACCTTAAAAATATGCCACCAGTCTTGAACTCCCCAACCCTAGGGAAAAGACACTTGCCATTCACCTTATCTATACCCCTCATGATTTTATAAACCTCTGCACAGTCACCCCTCAACTTCCGGGGAAAAAGTCCCAGCCTATCCAGCCTCTCTTTATAACTCAAACCCTCCATTCCCAGCAACATCCTGGTAAATCTTTTCTGAACCCTCTCCAGCTTAATGATATCCTTCCTATAACAGGCCAAGCAGAACTGGACACAGTACTCCAGAAGAGGCCTAACCAATGTCCTGTAGAACTTCAACATAATGTCCCAACTTTTATACTTAAAGGTCTGAGCAATGAAGGTAATGCGCTAAATGCCTTCTGAACCACCCTGTTTACATTTCATACAAATTTCAAAGAATTTATGTACCTGAACCCTTGGTCTCTCTATTCGACAACACTACCCAAGGCCTCACTTTAACTGTGCAAGTCCTACCCCGCTTGTTTCACCGAAATGCAATACCTCACATTTATCCAAATTAAAATCCATCTGTCACTTCTTAGTCCATTGACCAAATTAATTTCCACTGCTAATCTTGCAGTCTTAACTCTCTGCTCTTCCACAAGTCCTCACTACTTAAGGAAGTGAAGTTTTGAACTCCTCCAAAATAATGGTCCCTCTAAGAACGTTATATGATTCATCTATTTTCAATGCCCTTATCCAACAATCAAAGTTACTTTGTTTAATCCTTTCAAACTCTATGTATGCTTCACCAGGTTCCCTCTTCAGATTCCTAAAACGTTGCCTGTAGGCTTTTGGTACTTGCTTATATGCTGTTAAGATGGCCTTTTTTCACCACATCATACTCCCCAGATACCTCTTCTGACAGTGATGCAAATACCTCACTAGCTCTTCCTACCAACTTTGTCTGGATCAGCAATACCCACATGGTCACTGGCCATTTCATTTGTTTAGGCACATCCTCAAAAAAAATGAAAAAGGCTTCGATGTCCCTCTTGAACT